CTTAATGAACTTTGTAAAATAATATAGATGTACAAAAAGTGATCTAATTACAAAAAAATATTGAAAGTTTTCAATTGTATGTATCAATCGCATATGGCATTCTCATCAACAAGTTAAATTTAATACAAATTATCCCTTATCTCGCCAACTCTTCAATCATATGTAGAAAAATAAAAAAAACAGGCAAGAAAAAACAAAAATCGTGTTATTGTATCGCCCAGAAGTGCTCGCGATCGTGAAACATCTCATCCTCATCTCACCTTCAGTTCAACCCTCTTTTAGAGGGTAAGAGTGAGGAAAAATAAGGCACCACCACGAGAAAAGTAGAAGAATTTTCTTTCCTTCTGCTAAGAGAAAATGGGCATGTCTTATGTGTATGTTGAAGAAAACGTGAGAAATAAAACGAAAATGTCATCTGTCAATCGATTCGAGAATCGTAGGAGAATTGTGACGACTGTGACTGTGACACGATAGTAGCCGGTAGGAGGAAAAGATGCATGGGGGATGAATGAATTTATGTGGAATGGATTGTCACATACATATATATATATATATATATATATATATATATATACTAGCATACCACGCCACGCGTTGCCGCGGCCCTTATTAAAACCCACCTGATTAAAATTTGAATCCGTTTGATAACCAACTTTTCAAAACTTTTGTTATAAAAAATTATATCAATCCGAATTGAAATTTGAATCTGTAGGTTCAATTTTATTGATTAAAATTTTTTTAAACTTACTTGAAAATTAAAACAAATAAAATTATTAAAGATCTGAATAAAAGACCACATTACAAAATTCATAATAAATAACCAATTGACTTTTATAAATGCTTTATATCCTATTTAGTACTACGTCCGATTTTCCTTGCTAATATTTTAATATGTTCTATGATGCTGTATTTAGGAATGGTTTCATTAGTCACAAACTACTGAGAACTTGTTATAAGTCCTAAAATTTTTTTTTAAAAATTTTCCAGAAATATATGATTTTGACTTTGTTAACTTTCCGAAGGAGAAGTTTATGCTTTCATAAAAAAATCCGATTCGCTAATTTTATGTTTTTTCGGCGTTTCAAGCCATTCTGAATCGAATGAGACCAAATTTGGAAAAAGTATGTGTGTGTGTGTGTGTGTGTGTGAACAGATTTTTTGCCGTAAATCGACGTTTTCTCGAAAACGACTGGACCGATTTCAAAAATTTAAAAGCCATTCGAAGTATCTCGATGAGGACTATTATTAGTCAGTTTTGTGCGACGATCGACCAAGCCGTTTCTTTATAAATCGCAGAAAAGTGAAAATTTTTTTGTCTACGTTTTAGCTCGCAATTCTGATTCGATTATGAAAATTCAAAAACCGTTCGAAAGATATTGAGTGGGAATCGTGCTGATTAGTTTTTGGTAGAGATCGGCCGGGCCGTTTTCTTGTAATAAAGTTAAAAAAAATAAAATCGACGATTTTTATGATTATTTTTTATAGTAGATACCGTAGTCTTCTAGATCATACTAAAATCGTTTATTTTTTTAAAATTTATCAAAGTTTGCACAAATTAGTATGGTCTTTTTGGCATTTGTCAAAATTAAAACTTTCATCGACATTTGCTTAAACGCGTTGAACCGATTTCAAAAATTTAAGAGTCAATCGATGTATTTTGATATGGATTATCTATTCTCAGTTTTGTGCAACGATCGGCTGAACCGTTTCTTAGTAATTAAGAAAAAAGTGGAAAATTCTTATCTACGTTTTAGCCAAAAATTCCGACTCCATTTTGAAAATTCAAAAGATATTCGAAAAAATATTATTCAGGAGTCGTACTGATAAGTTATGGACAAAGATTGGTCGAGCCGTTTCTTCCTGATCAACTGTTGAAATTTTTTTTTTGATGAAACTTTTTTTTGATGATAGATATTATGATCCTAAAAAACATACTGAAATAAAAATTCATGAAAGTTTCAAAAACAATGATGAATATAACAAAATGTGTCAAAAGTCGCTTTTGTGATGTGATGAGTCACAATTTGAATATCACAAATTCAAAAGCCATTTTTTGGAATCAGCGAAAAAACAAGTCCACAAAACTCTTCTAGTTGTTTAAAAAATGTTGTCATTAATTTAAAGCATTGAATATTATCAGGGGCTATATACATGGCATGTGTAATTGTGCAATTGAAAATTTTATATAAATATATGAATCTCAATTTCGGTTTGATCAAGTCAATTATTACACATTTCCTAAAGTTCATGCATTTTGTCTTATTTTTAGGACAAAATGCTATGCACCACTAGTTCATATTTTGCATCAGCTTTTTATCGATGTGAAATGCTTTGATTTTTTTACGGTGTGAACTTTTTATTTGTCTTTTTATATTTTCGCATTAGGCTCTGTATAGTGATACACATAGACACTGGCACACTTTGTAGCCGCGTTTTTCATCTTTTCTTCTGGATCAAACTTTAGATATAACATAATATATATATATATATATATATATATATATATATATATATATACAATATAGAGATGTACCTATACCTATAGGTGGGAGGTACCCATGTACGTGCTGTTATTACGAGAACGTGTTTACATGAGAGCAAAACGCGGTAACTCTGTTGAGTGGAGCATTTCACATTTCACATTTCGCATTTCGCGTTTTCGAGCATAATTCTACGATACTTTTCCTTCAAAAAATAAAAGAGAAACAAGCAAAATATAACAGATACACATACCGCATTTTAAAGATAATGGATCGATATTTTAACCTATGCCATTTCGAACTCAAAAAATATTTTGATGTTTATTTCTTAATACTGTGTATTATTTTTATAATTCATATCGTATTTAAAGTTTCGCACTTAAATCTATTTTATTTTCCATTCATGACTCTTTTCCGATCGTTCCGCCCTTATTTATTTATAGCGTACCCTACAGTCCTTAAAATCTAAAACATCCCTCGGGAATCTGAATAAAATTCGATTCGCTTGTTAAGCCCCAACTATATTATATATAAAATAAAATAGGGTTTGTAGTAGAAGATATACCATTAACGATGGCATTGTGAAGAATCCTTTTCCAGTGAAGGGTGTATACTGTACCACATCATAGGGCGGATTGTTTTACCCTTTAGGAATAATTTTATTTAGAAATTTGTATTATAGATATCTATTAAATTTCAAATAATTTTGAAGGATATTAGTTCCTCTTGTGTGGCTGATATTCGCAAACTCTGGTGTTTTACATCATTCATACACGTCGAGTGTTGGGTTTAATAATGTTCTCGTTTCATTCTGAATATGAGCTTCATACAATTGTAGAAATGTCGTCAAAATTTCAGTTTAATCGCTAAAAGCAGACATTTCCGTGCGCCATCAGTATTCGCTTACAACGCGAAATACGAACTCAGATCTCAAAATATGAATATGTATATATATATATATATATATATGTATATTATAATAAATATATAATAGTGTAGGGCGGGGCACAAAAGTCCAATTTATATACTATATAATCGCATAAAATTGCAAGGATATTGAAATTTACAACTCTATGGTGAAACCAAACTGATAATTGTGGACACTTCTTTTAGTTTTTTGCGAATATCTTGAAAGTTTGTTTTGAACACTTGTTAAATATAATTTATTTCTCTAATATATATAAAATTCTCCATAAAACTGCATCAAAAAATATATACAACATTATAGTAAAATTTTTCATAAAATTAGTAAAAACTCGATGGTCAAACCAAAATTAATCGGCTTGATAATCGTGGACACTTTGATAGTTTTTTGCAAACATAAATAATAATAAGAACTAGTGGGGTGTATGGCATCGTGCCTTAAGGCAAATTGCTGGAACTTCCCGTACCGTAACGAAATGTTCGAGGAGTACTGAATGTTTTCAAATAGATTATTATAAATATTGTAACATTGTCTAATATTTCTAAGAATTATATAAACTGAATTGCAAAGTTAAAATTATTTGTTAAAGTTATATTAGAACTTTAGTCAGAATTAAAATAAAATCTGAATTATTTTCGATATACAAAAAAAAAATTTAAAAAAAAAAAAAAATTGGAACAAAAATTTTTTTTTCCTATATCAATTATTTTGTTAAGACAAGCAGAAACTTCTTTGAATCATTCAAATCGGACGCTTAGTTCTCTCAAAAACTGCCATTTTTTACATATTTAGCTCCGTATCTTCAAAATGGCTGGGCCTGCCTTTGCAAAAAACTAATAAACACTTCTCACAATCATTACTAATTGAATGTTTTTTAGATCATTCAAATCGGATACGCCGTTCTCTCAAAAAGTCGATTTCTATTTTCTGCACTTTTTGCTCCGTATCTCCGAAACGGCTGGACCTGCCTTTTCCAAAAACTAATCAGCTCTTTTCCCTATCAATAGGAATCGAATGTTTTTTGAATCATTCAAATCGGTTGATCCGTGTGCCCGAAAACGTGACTGGAAATTTGTATCCATACATACACACACACACACATCCATTTTTTCTGAGGTATGCCAAAACGTTCAGAAACCTTCAAAACGTCGAGAAATGTAAAAATTTTCAATTTCGATTTTTGGCCCATTACAATAACTTACCCTACGGGAAGTTAATAATATAGACTTAAAAATTATATTGAGATCTCGTAAACTAAACAACAGTGCTCAAAACCTCAAAAATTTGTTCAAACTATTATTAAATATATTACATATCTAAAAATTACTAAATCTTCTTCACAAATCTGCGTCAAAAAAAATATATGCTCACGACTAAAAAAACTAATATAGAAAGAAAATACTTTTGTTATGGATTTTCAAATGATGCCGTTTTGATCCCGAAGAACCGCCGTAAGAATCTAGATAATGACTGACCTTTTTTCGGTGGTGGACCTTTACTCTACGCTAGTATTATAGTTATAAATATGACTTCTTTCTACTAATTTTTTCTTATTTTTTTCCAGGATTCTGAGCATGAGCTAGCGTTTTCTCCATGCAATGCCGGCGCATTCAACCGGCTCAAGCAGCCGGAGCACATGGCTGCTACAAATCTCCTTACTCCTAGCCTTAATAATAACAACGACATTAGGAATAAGTCGACCACCTCAAGAAGCCATACGCTTTTCCCATCCAATATATAATGTCAGCGTTCCCGAAAACAGTCCCGGAAAAACCTTCCTCATTCAGCCGGCGAACGAAGACAGAGCCGGGTTGCGTTTATCCGGCATCTGGCAACAGGCCGATGTTAAGTATAAGATATCAGCAGGGGACAAGGATAAGTTTTTTAAGGCTGAAGAGAGAACTGTTGGTGATTTTAGTTTTTTAATTTTAAGGACACGTACTGGTAACACGGCTGTGCTGAATCGTGAACGCAAGGACAGGTATTTACTAGAAATCCATGCCACGGTTATTTTGAGACAAAATGGTAAAAGTAAAATTGTCAGCGAAGCTGATACTAATGTATCAGTCACAATTTTAGACACAAATGATTTAAACCCTTTGTTTTACCCCAACGATCAGTATTCAGTGACAATAAACGAGGACACGCCTATACACTCAGATATTTTACGCGTCGACGCCGAAGATGCTGATCTCGGAATCAACGGTGAAATTTACTACTCGTTTGTAGAACAAACTGACCAATTTGCTGTACACGCCACATCAGGAGTAGTAACTTTAACCAGGCCTTTATCCTTCACCGAAAAATCCCTGCACGAGCTTCAAATCTTAGCAACCGATCGTGGAGGTGCCAAAAACAAAGGCACGGGTCACAGTAGTAAGGCTAAAGTACGCATCAAAGTCCGCCAAGTCAATTTATTTGCACCAGATATTTATGTACACCCTTTGCCAGACATTCTAGAAAACTCCGACTTTTTGGTGTACGCAATCGTGCGTGTCGTTGACAAAGATTCCGGTGTCCACGGTCAAGTCAAAAGTTTAGATATCGTCGACGGTGACCCGGATGGTCATTTTAGAGTCCGAAGAACCGATACACCTGGTGAATTCAACATCGAAGTGCACAAGAAATTGGATAGAGAAGCCACTCCACAAGGTTATAATTTAACTTTACGAGCTGTTGATCGTGGTACGCCCACTCGAGAAAGTTACAAAGCTGTTCCGGTGCACTTGTTGGACGCAAACGATAACGCACCTGTATTTGCAAGAGAGTTGTACGAAATATCTGTACCTGAAACATCACCCATAAACTCTCCAGTTATACGTCTAAAAGTCACTGACAAAGACGAAGGCAAAAACGCGCAAGTTTTCCTGGAAATTGTTGGCGGAAACGAAGGCGGCGAGTTCTGGATCAACCCTAACTCCGGCATGTTGTATACAAGTGTTATGCTTGATGCTGAATCCAAAGCGTTTTATACATTAACAGTATCAGCTATAGACCAAGGTAATACAGGTACACGTAAACAATCTTCAGCTAAAGTCAAAATCAACGTACAAGACGCCAACGATAACGATCCTGAGTTCGACCAAACAGAAATCACAGTCTTTGCTGATGAAAACGAACCTGGTGGCACTTTTATCACCAAAGTTACCGCCAAAGATCGTGACAGTGGTGAAAACGCTTACATATCCTACAGTATAGCAAACATCGAAGACGTACCTTTCGAAATAGAACATTTTAGTGGTGCAGTACGTACAACAAGATTACTGGATTACGAATCCATGAGACGTGAATACGCGCTTTTGGTTCGTGCATCGGATTGGGGTTTGCCTTACAGACGCCAAACTGAATTACGACTAAATATCAAGTTGCGAGATGTAAATGATAATAGACCGCAATTTGAACGCGTTGATTGCGAAGTAAGATTATCAAGATTTGCACCCATTGGCACAGAAGTGATAACTTTGTCTGCAATTGACTTGGACGCTGGTAATATAATTTATTATCGTGTGGTTTCAGGGAGCGAGGACGATTGCTTTGCTTGGACACATCATCAGGAGTTTTGACTGTTGATTGTGATTTGAGTGATGTACGGTCTGATGAGCGGTTTGTTAACGCTACAGCAACTGATGGTAAACATTTTTCTGATGTAGTCACTGTGCATATAAAATTAACCAACACTTTGGACAAATCAGGTGTATCTAATTGTCGTGAAACTGGTGTAGCAAGACGATTGACTGAAGCTTTGGCTTCTGCTGAAAGAAATAACTTACCTCTGCCTTCGCCGGAGCCTAGACACGCTAGGCACAGGGATAACCTACACGCCCTGAGTTTATAGATTTCCTAACGAAGTACGTGTAAACGAATCAGCACCTTTAGGCACAGTTTTACTAACTTTACGTGCAAGAGACCGCGATATGTCCTACAACGGTCGTGTGATTTTCGGTATCTCCGGTGGTGATAGTGATTCAGTGTTTCGTTTAGATCCAGAAACTGGTGAACTGCAAATTATAGGTTATTTAGACCGCGAACACGAGTACGAGTACTATCTAAATGTAACCGCGTACGATTTGGGTAAACCCAAAAATCGCAATCGCGTATAATTCCTGTAACAGTTCTTGATGTCAACGACAATGCTCCTAAATTCGAGAAGGCATTCGCCAGTTTTCGGGTTACTGAAAACGCGTTGAATGGCACTGTGATTTTTCGGCCAAATGCCACCGATGCAGATTATGGTGCCAATGCCAAAGTTCGTTACTCGTTGGTAACTGATACCAAAGACTTTGCAGTAAATCCTGATAACGGATTTTTGTACGTCAGTAACTTCTTGGATAGGGAAAGTCAGGAGTTGTATGAACTGCGTTTAAGGGCTACAGATGGTGGTGGTTTGTATGCTGATGCCTTGGTAAGAGTCACTATAGACGATGTAAATGATAATGCTCCTAAATTTGCTTTGGAAACTGTGACAGTCCGTATACGCGAAGACGTACCCTTAGGCTCTCTTGTAGCCATGGTCGACGCTTTTGATCCTGACCTAGGCGCCGGCGGCGTTATAAAATACTCTTTACTCCCCGATGAAGCCGAAGGCGAACCTTGTTTCCGAGTTGACAAAAAATCAGGAGCCATCAGAGTCTCCAAACCTTTAGATTTCGAAGAACGCCAACTTCATACCCTGACCATCGAAGCCAGAGACTCCGGTTCGCCAGCTTTGACCTCCAAAGCTGTTTTGATAGTGGAAATTGTGGATGTCGATGAAAATAGTTTTGCGCCAGTGTTTTCTGATTTTGTGTTGAGTGGTTCAGTGAGTGAAAATTTACCAGCCGGCTCTAAAGTTATGAGAGCTTTGGCCACGGACGACGACCCGCCGGGGCCTTGTTCTAGGATTACTTACACCATCACGGGAGGCACGGGATTGGGATACTTTGCAATCGATGATAAAGGTAAGATATTCGCACTGATTTTTTATAGGTATATGCAAAAGAGCTTCACCATTATCTCGAAAATTGTGAGACGATGGCTTGACCATATCTTGAAAATGCTGTACCTTTCTTTAGTTTTTTGCAAATATCTCGAGCGTTTGTTTAAACACTTATCTAATGTTTTTACATTTCTGAAAATTACATACAATTCTCTACAGAACTGCATCAAAAAATATATACAACATTATAGTAAAATTTGCATAAAATTGCATCGAATTTACCATTAACTCGATGGTTAAACCGAACTTAGTATGAATCATAATCGTGGCCACTTCTAGTTTTTTGCAAATATCTCGAAAATTTGTT